CTCCTTCCCTCCTTCCTCCCTTCCTTCCTTCTTTCTTTTTTTTGGGTAAAGATTTATTTATTTATGCATACAAGAACTGGGGTGGAGGCTAGAGATTTGGGGGGGGTGTCAGAGGACTCACCAGAGACAGAGTGGGGAGCAGAACAGGCAGATCTACTAAAATATACTGCTGAGGGGAGCAGCAGGTGAGACAGGAGAGGTCTGCCGTGCCATGTGGGTCAGCTTCCTGGCTGGGGATCAAACTTGTGCTGCAGTGGCTGCAGACAGCTTCATAGTGCTGCATCTTAACCTCTTACACCACCGGGGAGCCCTGTATAATAACAAACAAAATAAAACACACATATTCCTAAATAACTCACGGAGTCTTCATGAAATCACTGTTTGCTAGCTTCATTTAAACTGTGAGAAAACTGAAGCTTGGCTATGCCAATAATAATTCTTACTCAAAGAGTAAGAGTTGAACTACCTACAATTCAATGCCTACATCAACACCTCGGAATTTCTTCATTGTTCTAGACTTATAGAATTGTTTGCAAGTTTCTAAAAGTTTGTAGTAGGATGTAAGTTTCTTTGCTCTGTATCCACCCCACATAAATCCCCTTACATTTTTTCAGCAGGCTGTGTGTGTTCTGCTATACATTTTTCTCCACGTTTTTGCACATGCCCGTCTCCCTGTTTTGAGTTCTCCTTTGTTCCTATTCATAAGTTATTTTTATTCTCTCATAATAAGCTAGTATGTCACACAACTCACTTAGTAACATTCATGCCAGAGGAGAGGAGAGTAAATCATATAGTTCATGTCTTGGTGTTTCTGTGAAATCTTCCTGAAGAAGGTGGAGCACTGTAGGGGATTTCAAAAGAATGTCTTGTTCTAGTTGATTCTTTGTTAACTATTTATGTGCATGAAACATTAGGCTTAGGAATATAGATGGAGAAATACCTATTTTCCTTTCTGGTACCTCTGAAAATACCCAGAGGAATTAGGAGCGCATGGAAAGCATTTTATTCAAACATTTCCTAATTCTGTATGCACAGGAATGGATACATTTGCATATCCTTAACCTAAGGATCCAAGAAGACAAAAGAAAACTTCAAAATATTGAAAAGGAAGAAACATTCCTTAATTGATTCTAGGAGGGCAGCACAGCCCTGATATCCAACAAAGGCACCACAGCCAAAGAAAGCTACCAATATCCCTAGTGGACAGTAGTACAAAAATCCTCAATAAAATAACAGGAAACCAAAATGCATTAGCATATTATCATTAGCATATCATGATTATGCAGGGCCTCCCTGGTGGTGCAGGGGTTCAAGTCTCAGCACTATGAAGCTGTCACTAGCCGCTGTGGCATGAGTTCGATCCCCGGCAAGGGAGCTGACTGAGATGGCCCAGCAGACCTCTCCTGTCCCACCTGCTGCTCCCCTTAGCAGTATATTTCAGTAGACCTGCCTATTTTTCTCTCCACTCTGTCTCTATGACACCAAAGACACAGACAACAAAAGGACCACATACTCCATGAACATTTAAATAAAAATTATACATCAGAAAGTAACTACAGAATAGAAAAAAATTGCAAACTATATGATAGGGGATTAAGATTCTATGTATAGAGTACTCCTAAAACTCAACACATCAGCAATACAAGTCATTTCAAAAATGGGCAAAGGGCTTGAATAGCTATTTCTCCAAAGAAGATAGAGTAATGCCAATAAACACATGAAAATATACACAAACCACTAATCACTAGTGATGTGTGAATTCACATGACAGACTTTCACACTCATTAAGATGGCCATCAGCAAAACTCAAAATACCAAGTGTGAGGTAGATTGATGAAGTACAAGGGACAGTCACCTTTCTTTTTTGCATTGTGTCATGAGTTCCACTTCTCAGGGTCAAAGTCATGACCAGATCAATTCTGAGAAAACATGCAGAGGTGAGGCCTTCTTCTTGGGAGGAAACAAAGAAGAAGCGGGAAGACAACCTGTCGGTCAGCAGAGGAAAGGGAGGCAGGGCTGTTAATAAACCAGAACAAGCCCCAGGTTCTGAGGGCTTTTCACGTTGTGCTCTCATGGACGGTTTTTAATTTAGTGTTCAGAACCACCTGGTGTGGATGGGGAGCTGAGTACAGCTGATACCACAGGCTCAGAACGTAACTTGTTTAGGATCACCCACATCACAGCTGAACAAGAACTCGAGTGTCCAATTTTAGCCTCCTAATCTCGGCTCTACGCAGAATAGCATGGCAACGTCTTCCAACCTTAGTCCAGCTCTGCTTGGATCTAGAAACAGATCAAAGACAGGAAGAAGTCAAGCAGGCCTGGCTGAGGGAACTGAAAGTGTCTGCTACTGAGGGGAAGATGGAAGAAAACGTCAGGGAGCCTAGATGTGCCTTGTGAGCTGGGAGTCAGCATCCCCACCTCTCTCGGGCCGAGGTGGAAGGGGGGCTTGCCTTTCTGGAGCGTGCAGTCCAAGTGGAGGGAAAGGTGAGGATGGATCTCATCTTGTGTGGGTGAGAGAAGTCAAGGGGAGGAAGAAGAAGTTTGTGGGTACATTAAAAAGAGGAAGAGAGGGAATGTAGAAGTAGAGATAGGAAGTTGGAACAAAAACAAGTTCTGATGAAAGCATTTCAATTTGCATCTGCTTCAACTTCGGCGTCAACTTGCAGAAAGTTTCCTGGCAGAAAGTTTTCTTTAAAAAATTTTTTTATTTATTCATGCATAAAGAACTGGGGTACAGCTCAGAGGTACGGGAGGTGAGCAGATTCACCAGAGACAGAGTGGGGAGAAGGGCAGGCAGATCTCTTGAAATACATTGCTGAGGGGAGCCAGTGGGCAAGACAGGAGGGGTCTGCTATGCCATGTGGGTCACTCCCTGGTCGGGTCAAACTTGTGCTGCAGGGGCTGTGGAGAGTTTCATAGTGTTGGACTTCAACCCCTGTGCCACCAGGGAGGGCCCCCTGTTGGGTTTTTCTACTGTCCCCAATCCTTGGGTGTCTCCCCTGGCACCTCCTAGCTGCTCCACCCATCATTTACCCCACTAATCCAGGCACCACTATCTAGGCACATCCCACCCTTCTCCCTTCCACCCCATAATGTCTGCTGGGTGGGACAATTCAGCATAAAGCCTATTTGGTTCCCATGTAAGTTCCTATTGCCATAGAGTGGAAAGAACTGAAAAATTCCTAGAATAAAGCTGCTGTGTAAGGGTGTAGGGTGGGACCAGACTTCGAAGTGGTTTTGTGAGTCACAGTGAACCCTGAGCACACGCCTACTTACAACAGCAAGTGGAAACGAGGGGCCTGGTTTCCTCAGTATCACTCTCAAGGGGGATAGCTACCTTCAGTGAAGGAAGCTGTGGCGGCGAAGTTCTGCTTTGGCCTGCTGGCTGGTGGCACTGAGCTGTGCATGCCTGACCCTGTCCTGTGAGGATGTTGGGCCCGGCCCTTCTCCTCACCATCCCCCTGCTCCTCCAGGCGGCCCAGGACAAAGGTAAGGAGCCTGTGTGCGGTGGGACTGCAGGACTGGGGGGTGTCCTCAGGGTAGTCAGGACCCAGAGTCTTGGCTTGTGCTGCTTGAATTGTCATGGGGATGTCACTGTCACCGCTGACGGCTCTGGGCAGGACGCCTCCACAGAGTCCCCTCCAAGGACTTCATTCTGTCTGTGTGTCGTGACACCAGGAGGACAAAGAAGGGGCTCCCACAGTGGTGTGGCTGAACAGGGAGGAGAAGCAGTGTCGCACTGGGACCCCCAGGGATGCTGTGTGGCTGTCAAGCTCACGGCTGTGGCTCCTTGAGTCAGCCTGACTGACACTGTGAGGGTGGCAGGGTCAGCCCAACCCCTCACCCCTCAGCCACTCGGGTGGCCAGGGAGGTGTGGGCAAGGGGAGAATACCAGGAGGCGCCACAGCTGGTGCTGAGCCAGCAAAGGGTGACTTGGGCGGGGGTCTCAGCTCAGGCTTCCACTCTTTCTCCGACCCTGGAGTGTGGGGACCTCTGAGACATGGAGTCTTCCGGGGGCAATATGGGTAGGGGAAAAGGGAGAGAAGGCAATCTGGCTTCAGAGAGGAAACTAGGCACGGGACACTATTGTCCAGGGCCCTTAGATGTGGAATAAAGTCCTCGTCCCGATCACTGAGCCCTGAGCATCCGGGGCCTGTAAGCAGACACACAATGACTCAAGTCTGTTTGGAATGAACACAGCACAGAGCATGAGGGGCGGGGACAGGAGCCTGAGCAGGTGGGGCCCAGTGACTGGAGACCCCAGGAGGAGACGGGGTTGGCACCTGTGTGAGCAGCCTCTGGTCAAGGAGGACTCCCCAGATTCGAGCTGGCTGTGGGAATGAGAGCAGAGCAGGCTGCGAGGCTGTGCTGGGAGGATCAAGGATCATGCAGTCCCCACCTCCCACTGCTCAATGCATGGTGGAATCACCCTGGCCACAGGGAGGGAGAGACTTGGCCCCTAGGGAAATTTTTCTCTCTTGTGTAAATTTTCTCAGTGTCATGTAAGCTGACCGAAACTGTTTTGCATGTCTTCATATTAAACATCTGAGCTTGAAATAACTTCAGAGTTCCAGAGAAGGTGCAAGAAAAGTATAAAGAATTCTTGTATTTCCTTCACAAGACTCACTAGGTATTGACATTGGTCACATTTGCTTTATTTCTCTTTCTTTCTACATAGACTGTATAAATAAGAATTTTTTTGCTGAACCATTTGTAAGTCACAGATCATGCCTCTTTCCACCTACATTTTTTAGCACAGACTTAAAAACATATATCTTATGTCATATGTCATATCTTATCAGCACGATATTCACATTTAGTAAATTCAACATTGACATTTAAAAAACAAGAAGGGCGGGACCAAATGGGGGTCCTTTGTTCATGCTGCCCTCACTTCCAGACCTAATACCCAATCTCATTGCAGTGTTAATCTCTCTCAAAAGTGTCATCCTAAACCAACAAATCTGTGAGGTCGTTCGTATAGTCAGATCCTCTCCAAATCTTACCCCCACCCAAAGGTGCATTACCTGAAGCAATCTTTTCTTTGATTAAAGACCCTAGTCCACAGTTTTTCTCCCCAGGTGAAGCTTCCATTTTGTGTAACCCTTTCAGTATCTAGGTGCAATGCTTCCCTGCTTGTGAATCTTTTCAAAAAGCCAATTAGATCTGTACATTTGTGAGTGTTGTTTTATAACAATACAATCAAAAGTCCAGTTCATATTCAAATGTCAATTGTCCCAATTATGGGCTGTAAGGAGCATTCCCCTAATTTGGAATCCAAACTGGATGGTGTCCAATGCATCCTGCCATTAGGTCTTCTTGGTCACCTGTTGTCTACAGCTATTCTCACCTTTTGTCATCTTTCACAGGAGTGACAGTTTGGAAGAGAACATGTCTGTCACCTTGTGCAGGCCTCTGCAACCTGGGTTTGCGTAATGTTTGTGCATATGATCCAGGCCATGTGTTTTTGGCAGGAATACCAAAAAATTCAGTGTCTTTTCCAGTGCATTCCATCAGGAGATAGGTTGACAGCGAGGCATTTCTTTAGCTTGGATTCCTGAAGAATTTAACATGAAGATCATACCACTCTTCAACTTTGCAAAGTCCCCCAAAGGATTCTCACTTTACCTTGAGGACAAGCTATCATTTCACCTAAGCCCATGTGACCTGCACCCTTGACCACCTTTCCCTGTGTCTTGTTTCCTATCTTTTAGCCACAGTAGCCAGCAGGTTGCAAGTGCTTTTTTTGTTTGTTTGTTTAAAGATTTATTTATTTAT